ACCAGCAACAAGAAGGATGAGAACTACATCATGTGGTCGAGGACTGTACCGAAGAACAAAGTCACGAGTCCAGGAAACGAAGTCATAGTGGTTGCATCCTATTTAAAAGGATCTCCAGCGAGATGATTACATGGAGTTGTACAGACCGAGAGGCACGGCTGGGACAATTCCTGGGTAAAGGCCAGGGATCTGAACTCGTTTTCGATATCGGTTGAAGAGACGTGGCACGACTGTCAGGAGGCGCAGCGGGCCACTGATGCACTCAGGTACTTGAGACCCTAGAAAGTATAGGTTAGTGCATAACTTAACCAATGTCATACAGAAAGTAGTTGCCGTCCCAGGGGTCAGGTACTACTTGCAGGTTCTCTTGACCACATGTCTGAGGTGTTACCTACAGATGTGATATACACCATCACGACATAACGTAACCAATGTCATAGGGAAACTAGTTGCCATCCCAGGGGTCACGTACGACTTGCATGTTTTCTTTACCACATGTCCGAGGTGTTACCTACAGATGTGAGGAACCTGTTAGTCAGTGAGGCTACACCATCACAACATAACGTAACCAACGTCATAGGTACGACTTGCAGTTCTCGACTGCGTGTCCGAGATGTTACCTACAGATGTAAGGAACCTGTTGGTCAGTGAGGCTACCATACACCATCACGACTTATCTTCTATTAGCAACAGAGCCTTGGACTTAGAGGCTATGCTAGGAAACACCAGTCAGGGACCAGTAGATGGAAGGAGGAAGAAGGTCCCACAAGATTGGAAAAAGAAGGGAGGTAAAAGCTCCTTTGTGTAGATGATGACGGTAATCAGGAGTAGGTGGCAGACATGTCCGATTTTGTGGAGGATACAGAGTAAGGAGCCGGCTACAAGACTTCTGAGGGAGGGTTCGCGGCTGCAGCAACCGGCAAAGCTAAGGCAGCTGACAGGCGGAGGGGTGGCCAGCAAAAGAGTCAGGGTAAGAACCCCAATGCACCAATTTGAGTCAAAGTGGGTCCAGAGGAAGATGCGTGGAGAGATTGGTACGTTCGGGGTACCTGCATTAGCTGTGGCCAGTATGGTCACGGTCGCGCCCGGTGCAAGAACAAAAAGGTCACCACGAAGGTGCCGCCCACAGTTGGGCAGGTTGCATTTCTGTCCCACGTGAGTACTTCTGCGAGCAGCTCCCAGGGAAACACATCGGGCCAATACTTGGGCTGGAGTGGTAGTCCTCCCCTCGCCATTCCAATAGATGGTTGAAGCTATTGGCTCTTTAGTCACCCCGCAGAAAGATCCAGACCAAATGATGCTCTGTTCGTTGGATGTGTCTGTAGCTTTAGAGGACCTAGGGAGAAATTGGTCTCAAAAAGACCCTCGAGAGTCCCAGGTGGCAACGACAAAGGGTCGTAAGGGAGAACACTTCGGAGAAGATGTCAAACTGGGTGGCCGCAAGTGTGGGGCCTTCCCAGACATTGGCCCTACTAAAAACTTCATCAGCCGCGCGTGTGTGGAGAGGTCGTGCTTAGAGGACCGAGTGCAGCAGCTTAGTAGAGTTGTAGGGTCTACCTTAGCCAGCAAGCAGCACATTGTCGAAAAGTATGTTAAGGATAGGATCTCGTTATGGAGGAGGGGAACTTAATCATAGGATCTCGTGTTAAGGATAGGATCTCGTTATGGAGGAGGGGAACTTAATCATAGGATCTCGTTACTAGTCAGCGATGACTTGCCCTTCGACATGTTATTAGGTACGTCACCGTGCATACTACCTCGAGGTTGCTGAGCCTCAAGCCAACTGTGGCCGGAAATTGCTGATGCATCAGTTGCCTAATGCGAGGACCGTTAGCCTAAGGAAGCATAGCGCTAGTAGGCTAGTGGACTCGTATGGCTGCATGTGTGCGCAGCCGTTTTACAACTATTACAAACAAAGTCGAGAGGAAGGTACGTATCAGGTCTTTGTCTCTGAGAAAGGGAAGGCTGTTAAAACACCCCCAGAGATGGAAGAAGTCGTTGCCAAATATCTGGACCCTTTTCAAGAGCCCACATGGGTACCAAAAAGGGAGGTTGTCCACCGCTGAGACCATTGCTGGATAGCTAATTCTATCTACCAAAAATAGGTCAAAGTTCCGTCAAACACAAGAAAACCTAAAATTAAATGTCTAGAATTAAAAAAGTCGCTATTAAGACTGAGAAAAAGACAAAAGAACAACGATGTTTAATACAGGTTTTTACTGAAATACGTTCTGATTCTATTAAGAAGATCACGAAGACAGGTACTTGTCCAAGGGAAGGATCTATAGATGGCCCCTCCAGAGTTGGATGAGCTCCCCCGCCAACTGAAAGAGCTGACGGAGAAGGGATGGATTGGGCCTACCACATCTCCCTACGATGCACTAATCCTATTCGTCTCAAAAACAAGGCGGTCCTTGATATATTGATTACAGAGGCCCCAATGCCATCACAATTAAGAATGTCGACCCTCTACCCCACATCAACGAACCATTGGATAGAGTGCAAGGATGTAAGAAGTAAACTAAGATAGACTTGAAATCCAGCTACCATCATGTACCTTTCTGGGCAAGCTTGGCGCCCGCCACCTAGAGATATGTTGTTGGTCCCCCCAAGTGGCATAGAGCAGAGACTGCTGATATTCACAGGAGGAGAGGACCGGAGGGGAGGCACAGTGACTGGCCCATCGAAGAAGCTCGGTCCTGATGCTACCGGCTAACCCCTGGCCGATATCGCCCACCGGCTGTAGCAGGTATCGCATGAGCTGGTGGGTGCAGCTCCAGCATGTTCCCTCGTTGGAGGCTTGAGCACGGATGTGGCTGCTATGTGGTTCCCCATAATACTATGATGACAATAAGAGGTCTGAAAGGCCGTCCTGTCCAGTTTTGACAGGCAATTGAATTGGTTGGGATCAACACAAAACCATGTTTCATACAGCACGTTTTGTACGAGTTTGTGGTGATGCCTTTTGGTCTGTGCAATGTGTCGGGTAAATTCCAGCGGATTTTCCAGGATTACTTAGATAAGTTTACCATCGTGTACCTCAGATAACATACTTATCTTTAGTAAGACTGTTGAGGAGCACGCGCAGCACGTTGATATTGTGCTTGGTCTCCTTCGGCAGCACCGGTGTAAGAATTTGGTCACACCAGGATCATATATTTGGGTCATGAAATATCCGCGGACAAACTTAGGCCTGAAGATGCAAAGGTGGCTAGAATCAGGGACTGGCCACAGCCTGAGTCTTTGACAGAAGTGAGGTCCTTCTTGGCGATGGTGGGATATTATCGCCAGTTCCTGAACAACTACAGCAATATTGCAACCCCATCGACAGATCTCACACACCTTGACACCCCTTGGAAGTGGACTGATGATTGCAAAAGAGCCTTCGAAACAGTTGAAGTACGCTCTGGCGCAAGTCCTTGAACTTCCTAATCCCGAGAAGTCGTCCATACGTACCACTGACACAAGCCAGTATGGCATTGGCACCGTTCTCCAGCAGCAAGAGGGAAAAAAGGCGATCGAGTATACAAGTAAGAAGATGCCCTCCTAAAAATTGACAAAGTCCACATATGCGCTCAAGCACTACGCCCTCTACAAGGCCTTAACGCATTGGAGGCACTATCTCTTGGGCAAATTCTTCATTGTGAGATTTGACCATCAGACCCTCTAATGTATCAAGAGGGAGCCCACTCTGTCACATGCACTCAACAGGTGGATTAAAGTCATTGACAAATATGACTTCCGCCTTGAGCACTTGAAGGGAGAGTACAACAAGGTTGTAAGTGCTCTATCACATAGGGCAGATTACTGAGACGAGCTGATCAGGAGTTCCGGTTTTTCTAACGATCTGACTCAATCTATGGTGGATGCCTACAGGGAAGACACTCTAAAGACGGACATCATTCACAAACTCGAGGCCAAAGGCAAGGCAACTTCCAACGAGTTTGTGGTGGTGGACAGTTTGCTGTTCCTTAAAATGGTTGGATTAAAAGACTGCCAAGAAGAGAATCTTTGCGCGCAACAGGACAATTTAGCTATAAGAAGACTTCAGCAAACCTAATTCAGAGATTTTGGTGGCCCACTATACTAGAGGACACTAAGCACAAGAGGACACTAAGCACAATGTAGACACATCCCCGGGTTGTCAGCGCAACAAACCAAGGACCCAAACACCTCTAGGGCTAATCAAGCCTGTGCCTATTCCCGCTGGTCCCGGACAGACTTCATAGACACCCTTGTCAACGGTGAGAGTGGAGAGAGGCCCATCTCCTTCATAGTGGATAGGTTATGTGCTATGCCAGAGACCGCTAAGACTGAGCATGTGATCAAACTCTTCATGGACAACTGCGTGCATGACGTTGGGTTGCCAAGGTCCATAGTAACAGACAAATATGTCCTTTGTACCAGTAAATTGTGGAAAAAGGAAGCCAAGCAGACGAGTTCCCAACTGCAGATGACTTCAAGAAATCATCCTGAAGCCACAACCGCCAAACCGAGCAGATGAACCGGGTGGTGCAGCACTCGCTCAAGCACTGAATCAAGCCGAGCCAGGATGACTGGGATGAGAAATTCTCTCTCATCGCCAACCTTAACAATAACATTGTACACAGCACCACTGGTATGTCTCCCGACCAACTACATCTTGGTTGGAAGCCCAGGCCTGCTCTTAATTTCCTCCTACCTGAAAACCAGCCAACAGCAGCACCTGAAAGCTGTCCAGTATGACAAGATTCTGCAGAAGGCTGTTGAGTAGATTCAGAAATCTCAAGATGCAATGATTCCATCTGAGACCAGGTGTAGAAGGCCATCTAATTTTCAGATTGGGGAGAGTGTCTGACTACAGTCATCAGACCTGGGACAGTAAGGCATCTCTAGGAGGTTGATGCCGCAGTAGTTTGAGCCTTGGGAAGTCTTAGATATAGTTGGGAATGATCCTGATGGTCCCTCTTACGTTATTTGTATCCCTGGGCACCTACGCACCTGTCCCATATTCCATGCCTCTAAACTTGCAGCATTCGCTGAGACAAATCAGTTTCCTTTGTGACGGTCGATGCTAACCCTAACCATGGATGAACACATGGACATCGACGAAATCGTTGCACATAAAGACATGCCCGTTCTGAAGCCTGTTGGACGAGGAAGACTGCCAAAACCTATAACAGGTAAGATTCAGTCACGGCACGAGTTCACAAATAGCAGGTTGGCCAACCACAGAAACACAATCTTCCATGCATTGTTATTCCAACCCTGAAAAAAGAGGGCAAAAATACAACAGTCACTGCTTCCCACCAGATGGGTTCTTCTTCTTCTTCTTCTTCTTCTCTCTCTCTCTCTCTCTCTGCCAAAACCTATAACAGGTAAGATTCAGTCACGGCACGAGTTCACAAATAGCAGGTTGGCCAACCACAGAAACGCAATCTTCCATGCATTGTTATTCCAACCCTGAAAAAAGAGGGCAAAAATACAACAGTCACTGCTTCCCACCAGAAGGGTTCTTCTTCTTCTTCTTCTTCTTCTCTCTCTCTCTCTCTCTCTCTCTCTCTCTCTCTCTCTCGCTCGTGTGTGTGATAGAGCATGCATTTGTACCTTTCCCCTCCCCTTCCCATTTCGTCCTCTCTCTCTCTCTCTCTCTCTCTCTCTCTCTCTCTCTCTCTCTCTCTCTCTCTCTCTCATGCACACACACAAAGAAAACACTTCATTTTCCCTCTCCCCCCCCCACAGGCAGCAATCTTCCAACGGCTTTCTCACCATAGGCCATCCATCAGGGCCCTCGAAACCCTCCTCCCACTGGCTACCAGTGCATACCCCCTGGTTCTATCCAAGGCTCTTTACACCATTTCCAAGTTTACGGCTACGATTCCCATGCCTGGCTTACCTTTTCACACCCTTTTTAACATGATGCGATTCAACCTTTGCCTGGTGTTGTGTGTGGGTTGCATCGAATCCAATGATCTGCTGCCTTTAGCCCAGCAACATCATAGAAGCACCCCTCATCCTTTCTCTTTCACATAAATTGAATTCCCCCAGTAGTACCTGGACCCCAAACTAGGATAGACACATTTGGCTGCTTTTAAAAGCTCAGATCTCAAGAATTAAATGGTTGTTATCTGCAAACCTTTAGACCCTCCCTCCTTCGTCTCAACCATTCCCCTCCCACCGAAAGGGATCCCTACTGTCCTCGAAAGGGCCCTTATCCTTACTACCATGGAAGGGACTCCTAGCACCCCTTCCTCCGACGGTGAGTTCTATGTCATCCGTTCCCCCCAGATCAAAGTCAAAATGTGAACCAAGAATTGAACTAGAATACAGGTCCTTTCCAAGCAACGAGTTGGACCTGTGGCTTTTCTCATCTTCTACAGCTCCAGGCTGAAAGCTCTTAGAGAAAATCCATTGCTGGGGAGGGTTCTTTAGACGCCGGCGATATTGCACGATTCCGAAGGAAACAGCCCATATCAATAGCAGAGCTCCCAGCATCAAGAAAAACACTCGCACATACTGCGAACAGAAAAATAAAAAAGAAACGGCAATAGAATCAACATTTGAACCATATTATTGCCAACATTTCAAACATACTGGGCGCACAAAGCAGAAGCACAGAGCTGATAACTGGTTCCAAGTTCAAATCAAGAAGGCGGCGGAGGAGGAGGAGGAGGCGGCGAGGAGGAGGAGGAACAGGAGGATGAGGAGGAGGAGGAGAAGAAGAAGAAGAAGAAGAAGAAGAAGAGGGAGGAGGAGGACGAGGAAGAGGAAGCAGGAGGAAGAGGAAGAGGGAGGAGGAGGAAGAGGAGGAAGAGGAGGAAGAGGACGAACAGGAAGAGGGAGAAAGAGGGAGGAAGAGGAAGATGGAGGAAGAGGAGGAAGAAGAGGGAGGAAGAGGTGGAAGAAGAGGAAGGGCCTTTTCAGCTTCTTTTTCGTCAAGAGGGTCAAAATAAGCTAACTCTTTGCATGCTTTACGACTTTCATCACATTCTGCTAAAGATGCTATAAAAAAACTAATAAAACCAACTGGCTGACGCCATACAAGAGGGAGAGGGAAGAAGAAGAAGAGGGAGGGGGAAGAAGAAGAAGAGGTGGGGGGAGAAGAAGAAGAAGAGGGGAGGGGAAGAAGAAGAGGGGACGGGCTGTCTCTTATACACATCTAGATGTGTATAAGAGACAGCTCCTCCACCTCCTCCTTTCATCTTCTTCTTCTTCCTCCTCCTCTTACTCCTCCTTGTTCTTCCCTCCTCCTCCTCCTCCTTTCGTCTGTTCGTTTTTCAAGTCTCCTCTCCTCCTCCTTCCCTCCTCGTCGTCTTCTTCTTCCCTCGTCCTCCTCCATATCTTACCGCCCACCATCTCGCATATATGCCAGCCATATTGTACCGCCTGCCATATCGTACTGGGTGCTATCTCCGGTTCACTTTTTTTGCCCTGCCCATATTGTACCAGCGGACAGCAGCTTCTTCCCTTCTTCTTCTACTACTTCTTCTTCTCCTTCTCCTTCTTCTTCTTCTTTTTCTTCTTCTTCTTCCATTTCTCCTTCTTCTTCGTCTTCTTCGGATACTTTCTCTCTTTTTTCCCTCGCTGTTGGTCCTTGCATCCTCTACTTACAAGACACTATGGCGGGCGGTGGTAGCGGTGTCGGCCGGGGGAGTGGCAGGTCTGGAAGGACGAGAGGCAAAACGGCAGCAGACAGGAAAAGGACACGTTGCAAGCACCTCCACTACACCCTCATCGACAGTGACCTCCAAAGACCCCCACCATCCCCCTTCCCCTCAAACTCCTCCCCACCACCCCCCCAACACACGTCTTTCCCAAGTTTCTCTGCGGATTTGGGCTCCTCTCAGGGAGCGCAGTCCAAACCCATCTTCAAAAAAAAAAAAAAGAAATTCCTCGAACATTTTTTGGCTCGTTTGGTTTTGCTGGACGGACCCCCCCCGGTCCGTCTGGCCCGGTCCGTCTGGACCGGGCGTCGGCCTAACCCAGGCCCAGAGTGCTTTCACACATCCCAGTCCAGGCATCACGGGCTTCTATTCCTGGTAACTCCAACAGATGCACACATGCTTTCTTTGTCCATTTTGCTCTTGTTGCAGTCAGGCCTCCGGCATCTGACTGGCCGCTCGGCCCAGGTGCATCAACTGGATAGGTGCTCATGAACACATCTGAGCAATTGCACCAAAGAGATCCAGAACGTCAGTACATATTCTCATAAGTGAAAGACCTGCTGTACATCAACAGTGTTCCCGATGAAGAATAACCTCCAGGGAACTGATCATCTAGTGGACACATGTTCAACTTGGGGCCTCAGCTTGAAATATGTTCAACTAGGGGACTCAGATTGTCTACATGAAACAAGTTCAACTTCAAGTTGGGGGCTCGGAGGAGGTAAAACAAAGACCAAGGGGGTAGGGCAGTAGAGTGATAGGTGATAGTGCTCATGGAGGTCATCAACACTGAGTGGGAGTTAGGTGAATGCTACTGTGGTCACCCACATAGAACGCCCGATCATTATAGCTATATTTGTAGCAACTTTCACTCTCGGTGCAGTGATAATGACCTGGCGCTCTATTCGGTTGCACACGATAGTGCAGCAAACAACACACATGGCAGTTCAGCCTTCCCTAGGCAAGATCCAACTGCACCAGTTGGGGCAGCAACAGGGTGGTGGTG